TGTCCCACATATGGGAGTTGGATAAAGGTGCCAAGGTCAACGTCATGTTTGATGCAAACTGCCACCCAATTGGTAAAGAAGGCTGCACCTTGACTCGATTCATTGGTACTATTGCAAGAAAATCAGATGTTGCACCTATTAACTACAAGGATTGGAGGGATATGCCTCAAATTTATAAGGATGACATATGGAAGATTATTGAGGTAAGTTAATGCAAGTTATGAATGGTCATTGTGTTTTGGGGTTTTTTTTTGGTAATATTATTGCAAGATGGATCTTTCATTTTTTCTGCCATTATTATACTGCATAATGCAATATTGAAGGACGTACGGTGCCTGTTTGCCATCCAATTTATTAATCTAAGAAATGGTTTGTATAGTTCATTGTGTGAGATTGTACAATTAATCATTTTATTGGGAGATATATCTTCTAAATGTGGGGCTTTTCAGGGATTGCAAAAATGAGTACTCCTGACATAATCAAGGCGCTGTGTCTCCCATAGGTTCAATTTGGCAACAAGTTTTATTTATGTACAGATATACAATTCAGTCCTATGTTTACTGTCAAACTATACAAAACTACTATCAAACTACACAAAACTGTAATAACAAGATTTTTTAATGAAAAATAATTTTAATCTTAAAAGGTTTACCCATTTTTAAAGATTAATTTAGTGTAACGTGATTATGGCAAATTGACTTTAATTAGAAGGAAGATGCTGGTTTTGTCCCTCTCCTTTCCGCTGCTCTCACATGATGCGTCTTCAGTTTCTTCTTTGGACACTTCTTGTTTTCTAGAGGGAGGGAAAGACAGTCGTCCCCATTGTGTCATAAAGATCTGTGAATTTTTATGCGCAGGTACTGGATTTATTCATTTCCTCTCCTTCCGTTAAATATGTCCTTGTTTTTTTCATTGTCTCTCATATGGTATGGGCTTTTCCTGGCAATTTTCTCTTAATGGGGTTTGTCAAAGTTCAAACTTTTGATCTGGTTTTTCTGTTTTTAATGATCTTGCATGCCCACCATCAGTTTTTTTTATAGTATCTATTAAACGAGGAAAACATATTAATTAAATTATAATATTTTTAAATATTATAATCTGGTTGTTTAAAAAGTCTTTACCTGCTTTCCTCTCCCCTCCCTTCCAACCAATCATAGTATAGTGTTGGCCGTTTTTAAGGTTGAAAAAGTTCCATAAAAGATTTGATTGATGGGCAACTCCATTTTCCTAAATTCCTTTTTCAAATTCACATGGAATTTGCATCATGCTACATTTCTCAATTTCATTATATTTTAAGATATTTAAGAAAATTCCCTGTTGGTTTGTTCTTATTTTGCTTGCCTTGGTTCTGAAGACGACCTATTAGGAGAAACCACATATCCAAAAGGTTTGCATCTCATTTAAATTTGCTTCTTTTTCTTGTAGTTAATCTGAATAGATTCAGGCACTGCCATAATTGATTTCCCATTATGGCATCTCTCCCTGCCTTGCTTTTGTTTCTTGCTCTTCTCCCTGTAATTTTTTGCTGTAGAAGTTGAACATGCTACAATTACAATTGATGGGAGTACAACAATTGCTGAAACTGATAATAATTTTGTTTGTGCTTCCTTAATTCCTACTTAATTATTCAAACTTTACATTTAATTTTCCCTTTTCATAATTATGAAAGACTGATTCTAATAAGTTTCTATTTGGTATAAATTTTTTGTTGGATGAAAGTTTTGTTTTTTACATGTGAAAATGAGCTTATTTGGTTTAGATTTTAGAGTTCTGTATGATGAATAGGACTCAATTTTAATTATGTTGGATCAGGATCTGGTGTGGTTACATGTTTAGTGATTTGTGCTGGTTATAGGTTGAACTATTTGCCTACAGAGGTTTGAGTTGAATATGAAGCTACATGGTATTTGTTTTGCAGGTTGAAGATGACTTTTAACTGTTATGATATTTTGCCATTGTTATTATTGGTTTTTTTGAATCTCATTTTGTTTTTGTGGTTTCTAATTTTAGTCCAAGTTCTTTATTGAAGAAAGCCGCAAAGAGCAAATCAAGAGTTGGATTATGAATGATGTTAATGAAAAATGGAAAAGCTATAAAAATGAGCTAAAAAGTGCAAGATTTGATCTGTTGCTAACAGTAGATGAAATGTATGAAAAGATTAATGATCCTCGAGTTGATAAGGAACAATTTGAAGTGCTTGTTGAATATTGGCGTAGTGAGAAAGGAGAGGTATGACAATTTTGTTGTGCAGTTGACATATTGCCTAATTTTCTATTATCACAAATAACTTATACCTTTTGTTTTCTTCCAGAAAATTAGCCAACAGAATAAAGAAAACAGGCTAAAACTGGAAGAGCCCCATTGCCTAGGCACCAAGACTTTTGCACGATTTGTCAATGAGAAGGTAATTGATTTTTTCTGCTCAAACTACTTTATTAAAAAAAGCAATGTACATATTGATCAAGTGATAACTGAAATTAATTTAGGGCATGATGTTAGATTAGTAATAAATTAAATTGTTATCTTATCTTTCTTTTTTTAGTATAATTGCTTAAAGGTATATTAGAATTTTATTATTTATTGCTTTTTTATTATCCAGGAAAGCTCTGTTGAAGGGAGAAAGCTGTCAAGGGCTGAACTCTACATTCAAAGTCGAACAAAAAAGGAAGGGGGACCTGTAAGTGAAAAGGCAAGCCAAGTGATGGTTAGTAAACACAAACTCTGTGTTTTAAATATGAGAGGGTTGTTCTTCATGGTATAAAAAAAATAATGAGTTATTTTCGGGTTAAATGTCATAGGAGCAACTTAAAAACTACATGAGTGAGTCTACTTCTTCTGCAAATGCATTAGAGGAAAGTACATCTTGGCAAGATGATGTATTCTCTAAGGTGAAGGGATCTGACAAGAAAGGAAGGGTTCGCTGCTTAGGGAAGGTCCCAACTTCTAAAAAATCTATCCCTTCCACGTCTGCAAATGGCAATGTTGAGGAAAGGTTGAGCGAGGTGGAGAATATGTTGAGTGGATTAATGCAGCTAGTGAAGGCAAGATTCCCAGATGAGAATATCACAGATATTCTACAGGCTGCCAACCAATTAGGTGCTGCCAACAGATTGGATAGGGAGGTAAACTTCTTTTGTTCAACCATTACAACTTGACATTCATTTTCTTTGTATTCTTGCATATATATGGTTTGGTCGATGACAAATAGATTTATCATTCGAAGCTTTGCTGTGACATATTTTAC